TAACACAATGCTGATAGTCACTGTAATGTAACCACCACCATGGTGTTTCAGCTCTGCAGCTCAAGTGATGCACATTCACTGGGAAGTTTTACCTAACTATTCAACTGGCTGTTCCATGCTGTGCAGCAATTCGTAAAACTTCTGCATTTGGAATAACTTCCAGTTTTTCTAGGCTGCGTATGTGTATCTAATCCATAAGAAAGCAGTCATTCATATGTATTGCCCTCAGTGTTAAAGCAGATGATGGTACAGAAGAATTTAGATGCAAGTCTGAGGCTACAAGTTACAACTCAGTATGTTTCACACAATAAACTGTGTTTTTTTACCAGAAAAACCACCTATATTGTCAACAGCTACTAAGAATGTATGGCTAAAACAAAGCAACTCCTTTTTACATTTTCTACCGCTTAGATTTTGTGGGTTTTTTGCCAAGTTGATTCACGCTTCACAAATATCTTCAGTTACTGTTTTGATGAATGTATTAAAGCTTCTGATAAATGCATCATTTTACAAATTAGAAGAAAATATAGCAACTGGAAGAAATAATGACATAACATTTTTATTTATGAAAATACATTTAGCTATTCAGTCCTCTAATGTATTGAATTTGGGAGACTTTTGAAAGCCAAAATAATACTATTTTGAATTAATCTGAATGGCTTTAATGGACTACTTAAAAGCAAATGATATTTTGTCAAGAAAAGCATAATAAAAAAATTCTAAAGAATGACAATTCAGGAGGCCACAGGTTTGAAGTCAGAGTTTCTGTTAGTCTTTTAACTCTGTGTAGTGATCTTTTATGTTCTGCTCTATTATTGCACAAAATAAGCTTATTTAAACTGACTGGACAATATCAGTTTTGTGAATCTGTTTACGTAGGTTCAACTAGTCTGTTCATAAATCCAGTATTGTACATTATCAGTTCTGTTTGAAGAAACAATAGCAAGCATTGCTTCTACATGTAAATGCAGTCACCTTCCTGAAGTTAAATTGGCTTCATTTAAGCACTGTTGCTGCTTAGGTCTAGTCACCCTGAAATAAGCCCTTGAGGACATTGCAATTTAACCCAGGGCATATTGGCTTACTGAAACTCTTAAGCTTTCAGTAAGTTTACATCCATGTAATGGAAACAGAAGAGAAATGCTTTAATTTAGATATAAAAGAACAAGTACTGTAAGTGTCAGAGACAACACATCATTCTGTTTTTCAGACAAGACTTTCAAAAGGTTAATGATATGTATTGCTTCAAATTTTATATGCCAGACTTCAAAAATAAGGAGATTGGTTCATAGATGTTCAAAATGATTTCTGAATATCAAACTCCGCGAGATTTTGTAAGGTTTGGCTGCCCAACATCATTAGCTATTTTGTAAAAACTTGGTCTCTGTCAGGCTGAAACCAGTGAAAACCATGTCTTAAAACGCTGAGGTTTTTTACCTTGCCCAAGGTTTTTGAAGCAAACTTAGTGAGTTATGTTTTAAAACAAGAATTTAAACACCAACGCTTATATCATAGCTCATGATATCAGAGTTCTTCCAAACAACTTTTTTGAGACAAGAAATATAAGGTAAAAGACATAGTGTTGCATAGTCTTTAAAGTAGTATTAGAAAGTAGTAATGTACAGCATGGACAGGAGAAGGTTTTTTTTAATTGTTGTTTATAGTAACAGTTCTACTGATGAAGCAAAACAAGCTATGAAGCAACAGCCACTTTCTCCATCTTGCTTGCATAGGCTTTCAAAAGCTTAAAGAACAGTTCTAGTATAAGAAATAAGTCCCACCTTTCTGCTTGAAGATGGAATGGTATTTTCAAGTCTGCTTGCAACAAGTAGAAAACTGTTTACAATAGTATTACCACTGAGCAAATAAGTAGAATTACTATTGAAATTACATTTTAAATACTTTCATAAGTAAATTAATTACCAGTGACAGAGAACTTCAGAAATGACAATAAACTGTTAACAGCACTCTCTGTAATTTCTCTTTTTTAACTTTAATCTTTGTTCAAGTTCTTTATGTTTCTCAGATGAACACTTGTCATTCTTAATTACTTGTTTGCAATTCTAAGTGGAACATTCGAGTAACCATCAAACTCGTACAGAAATTAGGATAGATATAACTGGAATAAATCAAAGAATAGTCTCAAAGATCTCCTGTTTGTAGTCAGCTTTAAAGTAAACTAGAACCTTCTATATGCTCTCATTCCCACTCCTGCTTAGCTCATATCTCTCAATTTTAAAGGCAAATAAAGAAAAGGTATGTGCACGCTTTCTGCCTGCTATGTAGAAGAAAACATTCCTTTCTGACCTTTGCAAATGATCTATTTACATCCTGAATCATAAGATTTCATTATCCTTATCTTAGTAGGCATAAGAACCAGTGTTAGTAGCCATGAAATTATTCAATGCTTTTAAGAATTCTAGCTGCAGTATCTGACTCTCTAACCTCTTCAAGGCTGACTGCACACAGTGTATGACATTTTCTTTTATTTCCTTTAATTTAGTTGACATTCATTTCACTTGTATGATGAAAGAAAAAAGGAAGATCTCGGTTGCAGTCTCCTCATAATCCTAAATATTTCACTCAAAAGTCATTCTAAAAGCTTTTCAATGTTAAATATTTCAGCAGCACCTTGTTCTTTTGGGAAAAGTCCTTCAGAATTCAGTGACAGTGAAGTAGTTTCTTAAAAAAAATGCTTTATTATGTTATAGCATGATAGTAATACATACCTTGTTTGGTTTTATAACTAAGTCAAATTTAATAAGCCTGCCTTTGTTTCTTGCTACTTTTATATTGGTAACCGGTGCTTTCAGAGATGATGTGCTTACTCTGATTTTAATTACTCAAATTTTAGATTTGGAACTTGAGACCTAGAGATTGAACACTTTGGCCAAGATCATGTAAGGGAAGTCAGTGGTAAAGTGGGGACAGACTTAAATCCTATACTGTTATTGCAACTTATTAGAAAAATCCGATTCTTAGAGAAAAGCTTCTCAGCTAATTCTGTCTGCCACAGATTCCGTAATGTAGGAATTCACCTAATGATGTACACAGTACACCTTACCCTCACAACAGAGGGCTGAAAGTACAAATCCTATTTAAATATTTCTATGTCTACTTGCTTATTACATGGTTCTGCATGGGGAAGAAGTAAGTCTAAAATATGCCTAATCTTCAGGAAAAATGTTGTTGTTTCTTTCTGCTAATAGCGTTTTAGCTTAATTAAAAGGTAACTGCATCGAGCTGATTTTTCAGATCTCATCTAAGTGTATTTAGTTGACATTTATCTTTCCTTTTTAAATAAAATTATTATAGTTCTAAAGCTACAATAAACCAGAATATTTACCCCATGATTAAACAGGCTTGTTACAAAACATGCCTGGTAGCATATGGCAAACTTCTTCCTAAAAAGCTGGTGGAAGGCGGGGAGATTCAGAAAAATAGAACCATGAAGTAATTATTATATTGAATAGGTGTTCAAAATTATTATTATCCAATATACAAAGTAGTTTGTCCTCCATAAGAGGGATACAAAAGCTGGAGAGCTGCTTCTGAAAGTAGGTGTCATACCTTGGTAGTCCCTTGGGATAAGAGCTTTTATAATACTCTTGTACGGTCACTTTCCAGAGACTTCCCCCTGGGTTTGCTGCTGATCTATAATGGCAAATGCATGTTTGCTCTTAGCAGGCTTCCTCCAGGAGCTAAGAATGGAAGTTTGTTTATGGTTTTTTTCCTTGAAAGGATGTTTGGCTTTGCCAAAGAAGTTGTGGTGGTTGTTGTTTGGGAGCTTTTCCCCCAGCTCTGTTCACCACAACTGTGCAAGATGTGGTGCAGCCAGCACAGCCAACAGCAGCTGTCTGAAGCAAAATAGTAACTTTTAGAACCGAGCCTTGGAAGAAAGTGTGGGGAGGTAGAAAAGAGTTGGCTGTAAATTCATTACAAAATGTGAATTCATGTTCTTTAATTCACATTCTGTTACGTTCTGTCGCTTGACTTGTATTATACAATTTCAGGCATCATCTGTCAGATGTTAAAGCAGAGAAAAATCTGACACTTAAAAAATACTGACTGTATATCATATCTCTGCAAAAAGCTGCTTCTATTGATGACATAAACCTACTTGTGGTTGTCAAGTATCCCTTGAACTCATTTCTATTAATCTGGTGAGAAGCGGAATTCACTGCATTACTTAGGAGGTGCTGGTATCATTCCTGCTGTGTAACCAGGTCACTCACTAAGAGGCTTTCTAGAGAATGAACAAAGAATCTACATAGGATCGGAATCAGTTTGCCAGATATTAAAAGATTACAAGTTTTTTATTTAAATGGAATAATCAGATAGTTTTGAAATGGGATGTCAGTGAACCTGTTGATAGCTGCAACACTTGTCTGTTTCCCTACTGACTTTTCAAGAAACAAAGAATGTTATTTTTCCCCTACAGTCTCTTTAATTATTTATAATTACGTGCTCTCGCTAGGGCCTGACTTACAATCACTGTAATCCTGTTTTCATTGAATCAATTTATTATTTGAGATTTTGTTCATGAGAATTTACTAAGCACATTTTGTGATGTAAGAAAAACCGGTACTTACCGATTACCACTAATAAGAATTAAAGTGAACCTTCACATGTTGAGTCTGAGCTTGTAAATCAATGGGGCAAAATTCTTGGCACTACTTATATCAATGTAAATGCAGATAGCTGATTTCTTCTCAACTTGCAATAAATAGTAGAGATTCGGTTTAACATAGAAATAGTGCTCAAAATAGTCATCTGACGTAGAAATCTAAAGCATTTCAGCTGTTCTCCAAGTGAATGCCCATGAGTAGTTTGGAAATGTGGGATTGAGCCCTTAAGAAATAATCATGTCATTGGTTAAAGCTTTTTAAACGCTTTTATTACTGACTCTGAAATGTGTATTTGTGTAGAAATTTGGTGGGTTTGGAGTTGCAGTTTTTTCCAAAATACTTACTGGGGCTTCTTTTCTAATTTTCTTTCAGCTGGACAGCTTAGCCAGTCAGCACACTTTGCTCTCCAGTTGCCATACAATGTGCTAGGCTTGGGCCGTAGCGCTAATTTCCTCGACCATTTGTATGTTGGCATTCCTCGTCCTTTAGGAGAAAAGGTTAGTTGAGATTTAATACTGCCAAGCTAATATTTGTGGTGTTACCTTTCCTAATAGGGTTTGGATGGAAATACTGCTAGGGACACTTTTTTTATTTTTTCAGAAGCAAGAATATCAAGGAAATAAGTTTGAATACAGAAAAGTGTGCCAAAAAGAACCTTGCATGCCTGTTTTTTGGGGGGTGTGTAAGCTCTGAAGCTAACACTGAGTCCAAAAGATGACTGAAGTTGTTTATAAATGTTAGCACAGGTATATAGTGCTTGTTTAGATGGGAAATGCGTTAGATCTGATGGTCCAATTCTTACACTCTCAGCTGTAAGACTCCTGGGGTTGGTCTGGCCAGTCTGTAAGCTCATATAATCCTTTCTGCCTCAGTGGTAAAACCATGGTCAGTACGATGGGAGGTGGAGATTGCCGTGGTTATTTAATCCTCCAGTGAAACATAAAAGTAGGGTCCTGACCATTTTCAGTCTTTAAAGACCTGATGGTACTACTTTAAAAATGTGAGGTATTCCCAGTAGCGTACTGGCCAAATTCTGATTTGGAGAATAGCTTCGCCTGCCTCCTTTGTAGAATTGGTTCTTTTCTTCTTTCCCTATTATGTTGTTGCTTTGTAATTTTTAAGCAGATGCTGTGTTTCATGTCAGCAGTAGTTATTTTGCTTTTTACATTTTTGGTTGTGGTTTTTTTTAAAACCACTTTGGAGCTTTCAGAATAAAAGCTTTACACAACCGTAAGGGAGTAATCACTTATATTTAAAATAAAAAGAAAAGTAAGTAGGGGTTGGGGTTTTTTTCTCCTCTTGTATATTGCAACAGAGAATTTCTTTGCTTTGAAGAATGTTGGTTTGTTAGTAATTGACGTGGCCTTTGTTTTTAATTTCAGTCCGTAAGGAAACAAGAATGGACAGCCATCATACCAAACTCCCAGCTTATAGTCATCCCCTATCCTCATAATGTTCCTCGAAGGTAACTTCATCATTTTGATTTGCACTTCATAAAATTACATTAATTCAGAGTTTAAAGTGGGCATTATGTGTAGGTTTTAAAATAGTCACCTGTATAGAAAGTAAATATAAGAACACTGGCGGGAAGGTGTGTCAGTTCTTTCGATGTAGTTGCCTCTGTGATTAGGGAGAATACTTCTCAAGTATTTACACAGACTCTTAGATAGTGCCCATAAACAATCAAAATCTATTACCAGCTCATACAAACAATCAAAATGTATCACCAGCTCAACTCCTGTAAATAATAACATATTTGCTAGATTTGCCAACATTCTTTTTGACAAATTGCAGGCATGGTAATGATTGAAGCAAGCATTTTTGTTTCACCAAACATGCAATTTCTGTCTAGTTGCCTATAAAAGCTTTATTTCAGCCCTTCTGAAGGCAGTAGCTGTTGCCACAGGTATGAATGTTTTTCTTTAAGTAAAGGTGAATGGGTTGGTTACATGAGAGCTTGAACACTGAATTCACTTTGCAATTAAAATGTTTATCCCAGAAAGACAGCATGTTTCTCTTTGTTATTAGAGAAGACATTAGTCACATATTCCAGCTGCTTTTTGCCGCTTGATCTACTAGTGAGGTCAGTTGCATTTATCATGCAGAAATGATTCTGACATCAGTTTCAGCAGTTAATTTTACTATAGGACAAATAACAGTTGAGAAGTGATGTGCCACTTGAGTTGCTAATTAACAACCACAGGAATAACATCTGCCAGATGAAGAAAATATAGTTATAGACTTGAGGTGTTTAAAAGTATGTTATGCAAAAAAACATTTGTCGTATTCTTAACCTGTTTTTGCCTTTCTCTAAAGTAAGTTTATGGACACTGTAGAATAGCAGAGGATAGAATGCCTAGAAGAAATTGGATTTCATAATAAACATTTATTAATTTTTTTTTTAACATGGATATGTTGTTTCCTGAGAGGCCTAAATTATGCCTCAGCCTAGAGCCTCCTGCTGACAGCATTCCCATGATAGGAAGCTTGGGGTACAAAAAGGGTGTTAACTGAGCCTCAGGACCGCACAACAATCAAGACCTGTCTTCAAGAACCCTTAAAGAGCTTTATTTTGTTGCTCCAGCATTCTCCTCCATAATGAACTGGTTCTGTTGCCTACAACTGCAGTTGTCCCGGGGTAAACTTCAGACAGAGAGATGCCTAACCAGCTGCACCCCGTGAGCCTGCCCAAGAGGAGCTTCTCTCAGGGAGGAAACAGTCTGTCTTACAGGCTTATTTCTCCGGCTCCCCAAGTCCCAGGCAGTTTTGTGGAAGGTTTGACTACAGGTTTTACTCTGTCCTGGGCAGAGGTGGGAGATAAATCTCCTAATGAGCAAGAAGTCAATCCCTGAGGATATCCACAGCATTCCTGGAAAGTTAAACAGAAACTACACATGGCATTACCTGAAAATAATTATATTAAGCCATATATTTCCAAGTAAACACCATGAAGCTTCAGGTTCTAAGTATAGCCAGTAGCTTCTGTAAACCAAGTTGTTACCTGTCGTACACTAGCAGGTTCTTTTCATCTTGATAAGTTAAATCTGTTTTCTGCTTCCTAATAAAGGGTAGTAATGTTTCCTTGGATTTTCTTCTTTTGTGTAGCTGGAGTGCCAAGCTGTATCTGACCCCAAGTAACATTGTGCTGCTAACAGCTATAGCCTTAATTGGTGTCTGCGTTTTCATCCTGGCAATAATTGGCATATTACACTGGCAAGAAAAGGTAAGCTTAATTATCTAGATTCTTTTCTATATTTTCCATACTATTTAACATTTCCTAATATTTTACAGTCTGGTATGTTGGTTTTTTTGAGTAGTTTTCGACAGTAAAATTTCTGACACAAACTGCATTAATTCCCAAAAGGTGTTTATTATTAATTCAGTATTTACTGCAAGCTTAAAAATTGCATTGTTTTTATTTAAGCTTTAAGAGACTTAAAAAGGGAAATGAAGAGCAACGTGGATAAGCTTTTTTCATTAAGCTGTTATTCCCAACTAAATGAGACAGTTTTATTTCATAGCTAAGCTTTCTATTTTGCAGAGTTTTAAGGAGTACTATTTTGGAAGATGGAACATAAACTCAGTTTACTTATCTTGAGTTCTGCTGGTAATCTAAAAATAAGGAAAACGTCTCTTTTTCTGTATCTGTCTTTGCTGATTGCACTGACATTAGCATTCAAGACTGTATACAGAGTCAATCGTCTGCATATTGGCTGCGTTGCTCTGTGTGTCTGAATTATACATGCAGAGTATAGAAATCCATTGATTTGAAGAAGCATTTTGAAAGGGGCCTTTCATGTCACAAAAGAAATGCGTTCCCATTTTTCTTAACTATGCTCAGTTCACAATCATATCCAACTGGCAGGATTGCCAATAAATGCTACTACATACCCAAACCATAATCTTAGCTGTCAAATAAAATTACTGCACATTCTGACATGGTAGAACTGTTTGTTATTTTGTGCTTGTGGAAATAAAATGACCTTGTTAAACATTCAGATAGGCTTTGCACATGCTTCATATTTAAGTAAAACACAAAAGCAAGGAAACACAACGTACATGATGACTTGTCCTTAGCATCAAGAAAGCATTGCTACCTGGGAGCTAGGACTATGCACTGGCTGGGTTTAATTCTGTCTCCAACGCATCTTAAGCAACGAGAGTAGCAGAAAAAATACTTGGACTTTGAGCTGGGGAGGGATTAACTATGTAATTCCATCTGGAGAAATGGAGATTTAATGTCAACATTTAAAAGAATTCTTCATATAATAATCCATGTATTGTAATGTAAGGAAACAGCCCAGAGTGAGTGCTTTTTGAGCCCTTTTAAACCCCATTAGGTATATGTGAATGAAGTGGTTTATTGGTTATATTATAAACTCATTTCCAACAGCTGCATCTTGCTCAAAATAAGCACAAATATTTGGATAAATTGTATGTATTTTCAGATTACTGTATAAACCCTTTTAATTCCTATAATTTTCCAAGGCTCTCCTATTGATTTTTACCTCCCCGATGCTTAGAAGAAATGGTTGAGGTACAGAAGAAATAAGCATCTTGACCAAAGCTGCATTGTGACTGGGAGTTAAACTCCAAAGTTCCTTGGTTTTAAGCTTGTTCTTGGTTTACTGTCCCTTTCAGTAATCCTCTCATAAAAATAATGTTCTACCTAAATGCTATTTTCCCTTGCAGGTCTTTGGAATACCTATAGCAAAGAAAGAAAGGGGAAATGTACTGGCAGTTACAGTCTCTTCCCCCAGAGGATATAACTGTCTATAAACTGCAGTGGTTTATTCAGCAGTTAAAATAAACCATGTACTTTGACTTTTGCAAATAAGTAGTAGTAGGAGCCCTTTGTGGACAATAGTTCATACACACTCATCTACCAGCCAAGTATTGTATTGTTTAAATAACTGTAGGATTTAGGGAAAGTATGTTGTTCTGTCACGTTGTAGAAAATCTTGGTCTGGTGCGGGGAAAAAAAAAAGCTTTAAAATCTGTTACTATTTTTTATTTTTGATACATCAAATGAAAGAGAAATTGCTACATTAGCTAAGGACCTTGATTTTCCTGTACGGTGATTCTTTGTAACTTGCTTTGTGGTCTTGAGGCTAGTCATGTGAACACTACACTGATGATAATACTGTGAGAGAAGTTTTGATGGATTCATCAGAGTATCAGTTACTGTCAAATTTGAAGTAGTAATTTTTTCAGGAAGCATACAAGAAATGGAGTGAAAATTGCTTTCTAAGTGAGAGTATAAAATTTTGTGCAATGTGACAAGCATTTCAATGTAGGAAAGAGCGTGCCACTCCCTTCTTCCCACCCCATTTTTGACATTCAGAGTACTACTGACATTGATAAAGTTTCTGCCAAAAAGCCAGACTGATGTATCTTAAACTTCACTGACAGGTTCTGCTGCTGCCACAAAATGCAGTAAAATCCATAATTAATCCAATGGAGTTGCTATCATACATAAACACTGTGTGATGAGGAAATGTTTGGCCTCGAACCAAAGCAGATGACAAACTTTCATGGCAGAACACATGCACTGATTTCTACCAAAATTGTCCTGTATATTTATCAACTGAGATACAAATCTGAATGCCCACACAACAGCATACTGTAAAGGCTTTTCTTCATTTTACTCATTTAAAAAAAAAAAAAAATTAGGTATAAGCAAGCTAAAAAGCATTTAAATCTGTTTTGCTACATTTTCTTATGCTAGGATTTACACATACTGTCTGTCATGACAAAAACACTTTTCTAGAAAAGTTCACACTACACGTTCAGAAATCCTTTAAGTGCTTTCATACTCTGTTGCTGCTTTAGAACACAAGAGGAGGCTTGTAGGAGAAGATATGTTTTTATACATTAAATGGATTATAGGGACAATTTAAATTGGCTTCTTTTTCCCAAGCACCACCCAAACTACTTTTTCAGCAGATCAATGTGTGTTCTGCATAAATAAGTAGGGAAGTGCATCCTACCTCACATTTCTGTAATACAAACAAAAACATGGAACATTTGTCACCTGCTTGGTGCTGTTAATTGTTGGTTGAACTGCCATCTTTGTCTAAATTTGTATTTAACAGACACTTTAAAAAAGACTCTCATTTTAAGTGTAGCACAGATGACATTTACAGTTAATCCAGAGTAATTTCATCTCATATTTATAGTACAGACTAAATAAATGCATATTAAGAAACGTTCTTCATTTTTTAAATATTCCTTTTAAAAAAACGTTATTAGAAATAATAGAAAATAATGGGTCATAAATACTAAAACAGCTGAGCATTAACAGCAGAAGCCAATTTTGAGTAGATTATTGCTATTTCAAACTAACATCATTTAAAAGCTAATTATTGGGGCTTTTACTAAGCTTTTTGCCTTTTGTCAAATGAGTGACTTGGAAAAAATCAACCATTCTGTGATATTTGACAACTCATTTCTGTAATAGTATTGCTCTGGATCCCACAAAGTGTTTTTTTATTATTATTTTTCAGAAAGCAGATGACAGAGAGAAGCGACAGGAGGCTCATCGGTTCCATTTTGATGCTATGTGACATGCCTTAATATTTATGAAGGAGCTACTACTCATTTGCTGAATTGAAATACTAAATTCTGATTTGTAAAATTATTACCGTGAAAATACTGCTGGTGTGCTATTTGTAAATGTTGCATTATTTGGTATTTATTTGGAAAATATTAAAAGGAGACCTGAATGTCTCACAAGGCCTTTCAGTCAACAGATTGTATATAACTGCATTTGGTCTTTATTTAACAGAACTGTAAATTTATTTTTCTTAGTAAAGGGATCATATTGCATGTAGTATTGTTTACGTATCACCAGTTCTTTAGTAATATTTGATAGAAAGAAAGCTGTGTAAATAAAATTCAGCGTTTCAGCGAGCAGAAGACTTTGTACCACGTGAATTTGTCTTGTCATTTATACATTCCTGCAAAATAACCTGCATTTCTGAAAGTTAAGCTTGAGCAATTTTTCAGATTACTTGATCATTAATTATTTTGATTGTACTAAACGGTGCTCAACCTAAAGTATTCTGTATTTTTCTTTGTTTAAATCTGTATGTGCAATAGTTACAGAATTTAAGAATTGGATAAGTAAAAGAAACCTGCAATGTTAATGCTAGTTCAGTAGCTCATCATGGGATAGATGCAGTATTTATGTGTGTTAGTTCTAGTGAGAAGACAACGCATTAAAAAATTAGAATCATAAAAATTTATCAGCATTACATAAACTGCTTTTATAATTAAACTACAACAACATTCATTTTAGAAAGGCCTAAAGTCATTATGAAAGTAACTTTTTTTTTGTTTACTTATAAGAACAGTATGGGGTTTTTTTGTTTGGTTTTCTTTTTAAAGAAGTTAAAAGAACCACTTTGGAGTGGAAGGACAATGAGGATTGACTCAACATTTATTGCTAAGGGATGAGATATACAAAGATTAATTACGAATTGAATAGGGCACTTGGAATAAGCCAGGTACATTATCTATGAACATGTCTATGCCCAGATTTCATAAGGCTGTAATAATTACGTAAGACGAGTAGCTCAACTTTATATATTTTAAATGGTGATAGAGTTACAATTTCTCAGTGCACTTTGGATCCTGACAGTCTCTAAAAATAATCATGCTTTTATTAAATAGTTATCCCTTAGTGATATGAGTTTACATGATTAATTGTGCATTTAAATCTGTCAGTTTGTATTCCTAATAAATACTGTTTGATAAAGTAGAACACACTTTCTCAACAAAGTGTTGGTCTTAGAGGCAATCACCGCCGCAGTAGGTATCTCCTCTGCTCTGGCACTTGCCCTGTAGCCTGCTGTCCTGGAACACCACTTGTACTTGTCAATACAGGAACAGAAAGGAGAGAGCAAGTACAAAGCTGAACTGATTGTGCCCACCCTGAATCACAATTTGTTACCATGGCAGTGCTGAGCAGTGACCCATTCATACAGCAGCACCAAGCCAAAAATCAGAAAAGTACTGATAAGCCATCTACTATGAAGTTCTACGAGATATTTCTAGTATGAAGTGATCAGATGCCAACAACGGAGACTTTCATATTACGCTCCTATTGTTATTCAGGATAGCGTATTTCCTTAACGCACACCTCTCGTATTTCTCTTAGAGTGCCATGAAAAGGTAAGATATTTGTTTTAGATAAATATTTAATGCTGTTGGACTTTTTAAGCCCCTTTGATAGAATTTGCTCCTGGCAGCAAAAGTAATAATGAATTTCATAATTAAGAGGAAACACAATTCAATATATGTTCCTGTCTTTTTCAGATGGTTGGAGAATAAGGCTAAACGCATAATGTCACTGTAGCAGCAAAGTTGTCTGTAGCCCTCTATCACAATATAATAAACATGGATTAGCTTCCTTAGGTCTTTTGGAAAAACAATTAGGAAAGAAATAACCTCATGCTGACATTTAAGCTGTTGTCAAGTTAACAAAACAATGAACTCAATATCTTTTGCTTTAAGGTATTTTTGCATGCTCAATAGTGCATCATTTAATATACAATCCATTACTGGTGCTTTAATAGCTTTCTTATTAAGTTTACCACAGGTTCTAACTACTCATAGCTTGGCTCACTACAATATATGCATACTATTTTGAATGAAGGCATTAAATATTGTTAAACTTCTTGTCAAAAGGTTTCATGTCGTACTTTGGTTTTCTATTCTACAAGCATCAAAAATGTGTTTGACTGAGGTTATTACCCTTCTACCAGTAAGTTTAAAAGAGCAACATCAATTAGAAAGTGTAGTTCCAGGTGATCATCCCAGTAACTGAGAAGTGAGAAATATTTCTAACTACATAGATTTTCAAAATGCATCCACCATAACACAGCCCTGGTGAGAAATGCGCTTGGAAGGCTGCTTCAGTGTGAAATCTCACCTATATAAAAATACTGTTGACACGCCAACTGACAGATGGCTCTTTAAATACCATCTTTCTTTGTTCTCATTTTCCATGAGAAGGTTTAAGATTGAATCTTCCTACCAGATTTATCATTAATGCACTATAATCCCCCAACAAAAGAACCAACTTTTCTGCTGCAGATTAGTAGGCATATTCTGTATGGTACGATATTTCTCCTGTGATGAGGCCATCTTTCTTAACAGACAGCCACATTAACAACATTTGCTACAGTTAACTGAATAGTAATCACTATAAATGCACAAAGTAAATTCAGGACTCTTATAGCTACTTTCAAATAAATGACCCCTAAATAGAGCAGGAGAAGTCCACCCATAAGTTTCTGCTATATTATAACCATCAAAGCTTAGTTTTGTTAAAGCTATGTAAAAGCATTAACCATGTCAGGTCTGAAGGTTTTAATAACCAAAATAATGAAATTATGCTTCAAGTAATCTCAAACATCGCAAACAGTACTAATTCTAAAGGGATGAGCAAATTTTTTGATCAAAGACTGAAACGTGTATCAAGAAATCGAGAGCAACAGAGTTGGTAAATCTGCAATATCGCTATGTTGTTTCAGTAGCCCTATTCATTCTAATTTTTTTTCCATTTTGGCAACAGGATCTTTTTGTTGAGGCACTAGTAGTGTCGGCCTCGGCTGTCACTTGGAAAATATTCAGCTACACAGCACTAGTTTTATAATTAATTCCTGTCTTCAACGAAAAATGTGATCCCATCTATGATACAATCCATATAAGATTGTAAAAGACATATTAACCTTACTTTGAAATTCCTGAATTTCCCAACTGAAGCTAGAAAAGCTTGTAGGTCTGTTCTAATACTCAGATCTGATTATATTGTCTAGCAGATAGAGAAGTGCACAATAAGCTTTCTGAAGACTATCAATATTCTTCATGACTATTGGAAAGTTTGCAGTGTTCTTAACTCAGTAATGAATAACACAGCCAATTATACATATTTATGTATGATTATACATTATGTTACCACACTGAGGCACTTGTACCTTCTGTGATGGTCTAATTAGAAATTGTATATAACTAAGATTTATCAAATGCACCTAAATCCTATTGACAAACCCAGGTACCGGAACAGTTAAAATGTAACTTCTAAATTCTTTTCCTAATTATTCACTGTTGACATCTTTTTTTTTTGCAACCTCTTTTACAAACAATATCCCAATAGAGGATTCCTTCTTTTTATATGGCCTATATATTCTCCATGTCCAAATGTAGTAAAAAACTGCTGGTCTGAGGCTATTTGTGATGTACGATCCGAGCTCAAGAGCAGCAAATACTTTTAGTAATATTAAAATTAAAACTTATAGTAGAAGAGCACACCAAAGGAACTTCTAAGGAAGAACTGTTGGGAGGAGGCAAAACCAGTTCTAATAATGGAAATGCAAGCCTTTTATTGCAGCAGAGCACCTGCTGTGACTCATTTAACTGTTCATGCAGGTATTTACCTGCATCAAAATGAACAGTCCCGTTGCCTTCCATGAACTACTCCCATTCAAAAATAATCACCATGACTCAATAGAGCAGCAGAAGGTTACACAACTGGCTGTCTAAAAACTGTCTTCAACTTTTCTTAACTCCCAAACTCAGGTTGAATTAACTCAAGCTTACGGGCAGCTTGACCCAGTGGCACACCATTTTCTTCCCTGGAAACTACCGCTCTGCAGGCTCAGAAAATTGAAAGTTTCTTCAGACTTACCACTAGTTTACTACAAAATATTCTAAAGCACCACCTAGAACAAGAACTCTAGCAAGACAAACCGACAGAGATGTCCACGTAAAAAATTTCTCTGAAAGCAGCAGTAAATGATGGCAGAATATGCCCCAAATCTAAATTTGATGCTGTTACCTGCATCCCCCACACTGACAGCTTGGCACAGCCCTGGGGAAAAATTGGTATGGAAGAGCTACTGCACTTCTCCAGGTGTGTAATAGCTCAACTTTTCAACCTCAACTGTAGCAGATTGGGTCTTTGCCATTACTACAAACTTGTATTGAGCACAAGATATTACTAGGTTTTTCTCCAATTTCATTGGTGTAAGGTAATTAACCACAAATAGTTTTCCTGAATGTGAATTCAGCTTGAGATCTGAGAATCAGACTAGTTTTCTCATTTCTTATATCATAACAAGTAATAAAAATATCTGAGCCAAATTTTTCCATCAGCTGTACTAGGCATTCCAAAAAGAAGGAAAAAAAAAGCAACCCCCTGTCTCCTAACAATCTGCGCAACAGCATAGTCAGATTTTAATTTTGTGCTTATGTACTTGCAGAGAGGATAACAAATAGTGGTTGATACACAGATACAGTAGAAATTATTACTCTGATAGATATTTTCTTGAGTGACTATAATAAACATTTTTGTTAGTAAAGAAAAAAATGCAAAGTAGGTTCACCTAATGAGAAATTATTCTCTTCATATAGGAGTTTTCACGGTAGAATTTAACATTTCATCACACCACTATAAAAACATGGTTACGAGGTGAACACAGAGAAATTGCTATATCCACTACTGGAATGTAGCAGCTATTTAACAACTCCTGGAAAAACTACCCTTTGAGAAGGACTGTATCATCTCTATTTAAAATTGAAAGGACAATTCGAGTAAGCGGAATAATATAATTATGTAACTTGGGATTTTGCCAGAGCATCAAGCTTAATACTTCATCAAGCTTCTTAGAACACTGAAATGGGTCCGTAATACCCAGAAAAGCTCAGGACCCTTCCTGTCAGCTCTCGCCGGGTCTCCCCA